AAGTGATGAAAATCACCAGGCGTTCCTCGCTCTCATTTGCATTACGGGTCTTGGTTTTTTCGTGTTTTTCGAAAGTTTTCCAAGTAAAACCTGTCATTGATAAGTTTCCCACGCTTTGGGGAGTTCCTTAGGCTATACCCTTGGGATTGGGGGATTTCCAGGTGTGAAATCTCTCATCTATTTTATTTTTTCATGCTTTGATCTTTTGGGGATTTCCATGGATTATGGCTCATATTTTTTGATGAGATGATATTCCTCCAACCTTTATTTTTTGTTTTTCCTCCTGTTTGAAACTTTTCTTTTTTTGCGGAAAGAGGTTTTTTCATTACTATGGTCAATCTATAAATAAAATCTTGTTTTGCCAGCTTCCAAATTGAAGTCCCCACAAGTAAAGTTATTGACAGAAATTCTTCTACTAGAATGTCAAATTCAATAATACCCCTTTCCAGCACCGCTGTCTAAACATAAAAAAGAGAAAGTCTTTTATTTATTTATTTTCAATTGAGAATTAGAAAACATATAAAAACGTTGCTACTAGACGGCATTTCTATACCAGCTTCAAGCTTTAGGCAGAGAAATTAAAGAAGATAGAAAGCTGGAGACATCATGAAGTTCTTGTTGGTAGCTGTTCTGGTACTGGCCTCTGTGGCTCACCTTAAAGCAGAAAAAGAAGATGAGAAATTACTGAGCATAATAGAAATGGACTAAGATGATGTTGATCATGAAATTGTTAAGTCATAACTAATTGTTAGTAACACCTAGTCGTATGTAGATAGCTATTTCTGAATTCCTGTATTGTTTGATATCTTTTTGATTGATTAACTTAACTGTTGTGGAAGTGTTTATACAACGTTATTTTGTGACCGATTGCGTTTAGTGTGCCTTTGGATCAAACTTCCTCCTAGTTTTTCTATTTTTCGTGGACTTTTTGCTAGTTTTTTTCTTTGCACTCCAGCCGAAACACATTTACACTTCTTGACATGATATGTTGTATAATTATCACCACGACCTGCGTCACCTCGTTTACGAAAAAACTGTGTGCGATTCAAGAACTACCCCTTCCGTTCACACTAACTAACCTTGTTTTGTTATAAATTTCTTTATCCTTCCTTGTTTGGCCGTCTTCTTCAAACAGGAGTAAAACTAGCTTTCTGAGGTAGTTTTGTTAAACAAGTTAGTTTAGTTAGCAGTTTTCGAATTTCAATTATGAAAATGTTTTTTCTTCTTTGATTTTGCAGTCCTGCTTTTCCCATTTATGTGTAATACTTGTATTACATAAGGCTATATTTTAGCAGTAACTTGCACACTATATAATGTATAACTAGAACTGGCATGTTTCCATTCAATAGATGATGGTGGATGCTCAAGATGCTTTACTATCACGCCCATCTGGAAGACCACGCCCTTCTGGAGGACCTCATCCAACTTTAATTTTGGTATGTAAGATTTATTTATTGGAGATAATTTTATGTTCGACAACTGATATACATTGTACTGAATCTCACTCGATCGATGAAAATGAAAATTAAGAGCATTAGAAATAGGTGCTAGCTTTGATTCACATAAAAGGTGACACCACCAAGTAGAACTGAACAAGGTGACAAGGTTTTTTATATCCTTGCAGGGAAAGTGCCTTGAGGAGGCCGTCAAGTGTTTTCGCAATGCTGGAAAAGATAAAGAGGCAAGACGCCAATGTTACAGAGAATTTCAGAAATGTAAAAGACCGGACAGACCATCTCGACAACCGAAGGAAGAAGATGCAAGAAGACCACGCCTGTCTGGTAAACCACGTCCATCTGGCAGACCACATCCGTCCCGAAGACCACGTCCATCCAGGAGACCCCATCCATCCAGGAGACCACGTCCATCCCGTAGACCACGTCCATCCAGGAGACCACGTCCATCTAGGAGACCACGTCCATCTCGAAGACCACGTCCATCCAGGAGACCACGTCCATCCAGGAGACCACGTCCATCCCGTGGACCACGTCCATCAAGGAGGCCCAAACCAACTGAAGAACCACAGTAACAGACAAAAAATAAAGCGGGAACAGCAGGAAATAAAACTGACCAGTTACATCCGTTAGAGTACAGTACTTCCGTCAAGCTAGTAGATAAGAACTCTGCGTGTCAAAATTATAGACCCTAGTAAATATTGAATCCTACTATGCCTCATTTTCCGTGTTTGACGTCAAATTTATTCTTTTGAAATTTGTCTCTTTTTTAATGAAAATAAAAAGAATATATTAGATGTCAAACGCGAAAAATAAAGCATATCTAAGAGTCTAGGAAAGTAGTATAGGGAATGGGGGTTCCAGCGCAATCTCGACACGGGTAAGACCCGCGTCAAAAATCCACCTACGGAAACAACCCCACTCCAAGTGTGGTTG